CTTAATTAGGGAATATTCCTTAAATTATAGTAGGAGCCTTAATATGATTTAAGGTATATTCCTTAATTAAGGGATATTGGAGTCTCTGGGAAGCCTGCACGTGTTGCGCTGGCATAGCACACTTTGCCAGTGGCAGCAGTGCACAGCCAGGCCCTTGCAGTCTACTACGACATTCTACCACTGCTGCCAGAAGGCCTTGATTTCGTGTCGAGTTGGCGAATGCTTGCGGCAAAGCATAAATGCACGGCTGCATCTTGCCAAGGCTGTCTAAGAGTTGCGCACAGTGGTTTCCTGTCCTCCCCTAAACCCTAAACCCTAAACCCTAAACCGCCTCGGCTCAAATTTATTTTGTTTTGCCGACTCCACGCTGCGGAAGCTTACTTGACATGCCTTGGGCACGTGGACGGCCGCAGTGATGAGCCTTGGTCGCAGATCCAGCCTACTCAGCCCACTGTGCTCTGTGCTCCAGACAGGTACTTGGAGGTTCATATGGGTACTTATAAGTAGGGTTATAAGTCCCCTAATATGGGTTATAATTATAGTTAGCTTACTTATAACTCCACTTATAACTATACCCTAAACCCTAAACCCTTAAACACCCATGAACCTCCAAGTATAGCATCAAGCCTGGTCCAAGTGGCTTCGTTTCTGCCGTATCGAGGAGATCTCTGGGGTACATGCATGTGGGAGTTTCCGAAACTTAGGGGTACCTTATTTTGGGGTCTTTATATTAAGCATCGGACGTGCCTCACTTCAGTGATTCAGCAAACCCATATGGGGGTTTCCGAAATTTAGGGGTACCTTATTTTGGGGTCCTTATAATAAGGATCCTACTATTTAGGGTACTATATTAGGGTCCCCTATTTTCGGGAACCCCCACCTGCATGTTTCGGGGTTCTTGCCGGGGCAGGAGGGAGTTCAGCACTGCTCAAACGCAAACTGAGGATTCAGGCCTCCACACTGTGCGGCCAGCTGAATGGAAAGCTCCCTTCTGTGGTCGCCAAGTTTGCCTTGGGCATCCTCGTGTTGGTGCCCCTGATCCTGCTCGTTCCTTTAGCTATTTTATGAAAGGTTCCGGCCGTGGCACCGTAGCCGAAGCACACAAATGGCGACATCCGTCAAAGAGTAATTGACGGGATTCGGCAGCGTACGTCGGAACTCTTCCAGCCGCTGTGATGGGTCGCTGCTTCTCGCCGCTGTCTGTCGCGTTCTCGACTCTAAGGAGCTCTTGGCATATGGCCTGCTGCTGATAGTCCTGGCCGCGGCCGTCTCAGCCTTGGCATGGTGGCCGCCGGCACCAGCAGCGAGCACCGAGAAGGACGGGTCGCACCGAAGACATTCCTTGATGTCGGACGGCAGAGATTCGATGAACCGTCGCTTTAAGATCTGTTGCCTTAAGATGCTTGGGACCTCCTATAGGGGCGCCTGGTGGAGCACCGACACCCGACACCGGTCGAAGCGTCGCCGTTTTAGCATAAGCCTTGCCTTGACAGGTGAAGATCATGAGAGTACCGGCCAGCCTGCTGCACCAAAGCTTGTCTTGAATATATATATATATATATATATATATGTATAATATCGTATATACTAGTTTATAATTACAGTATATACTATATACTCTATACCATATGTTGTATATCCTATATGTGTTGAAAGTGGGCCCATGGGCCTTGAGTTGTGTGCATCTTCTGATGCCAGGGCCCTGCACACTAAACCCTAAAACCCTAAACCTTAAACCCTAAAACCCTAAACCCTACACCCTAAACCCTAAAACCCCAAACCCTAAACCACTGAGGCCCCCGGCAGCCTAGCTGGGCGGCTCCGATCTGCACGAGCAGGCGGTGAGCAGCGTCGCATGGCTGCCGTGCTGCGTGAGGCCAGGGTAGGGGTTTAGGGGTTTAGGGTTTATGGGCAGCAGACTGTGAATTTACATGAGCTTTGTAGCTCTGGTGCCTGCAGTACCAAGTTGCCCATTGCGAGTCCCACCTGGACCTTGCCCACACACGTCCATAGAGCCGTCTTGAGTTCCTTTACCTGAGCTATCCAAGAAGGGGCATCAAACAGCTCAAGTGGAAGAACAGAGACCTTCGTTGGAGCTTTGGTAGGTAGTATTATTAGGGGTACCCCTTAAAGGGTACCCCTTCTGAACCCTACTTTTGGCTCTCTCAAAAAGGGACCATATTGAGAGGGTCTATATCCCCAAGGGTCCCCCTAATCCTAGCTCCCATTTGGCTGTCAGGCATTGACACCAGATCTGTGTGGCACCTTGCACGAGGCCGATTGAGGGGCAAGACTCTTTTTTATTCTGAGAGCAAGGGAGGTCGATTGGAGGTCATGGGCTTTCCTAGAGACTCCAATATTTATTAATTAAGGAATATTCCTTAAATTACAGTAGGATCCTTAATATGATTTAAGGTATATTCCTTAAGCGAGGGATATTGGAGTCTCTGGGTTTTTGGCTTCAGAGTAAAGGCAGTTGACGGATTGCTAGACACGTGGTGCCCCTGCCCCCTCATATCCTATACCATCTACAGCACTAATACTCTAATACTAGCAACTAGTATATCATATCATATTTGATGTCATATCATGGCATACCATACCATCGTATAGTATAGCATATCATATTATATTATCATACGGTTGATGATATAAATCCTGCATTACCCAGAATAAGGAATATACCATCATTCCCATAGTTTACGGTCCTTAAGGTAATGCAGGATTTACATCATCAACAGTATTATATAGTAGGTTCAATGTGCCAGAGGACAGCGACGAGGTGGAAGCCGAGGAACTCGTTGAGGAGGCCTTTTTTGGGGTCGGATTTCGGGCTCGTTTCTCGTTGTTCACCGGGTGGTACTCCGACTCGGGGTTTCGGGTTTAGGGTTTAGGGTTTAGGGGTTTCTAGCAAAAAACTACGGTAAGGCTTCATCACGAGAATAGCAATAGCAGGAAAAAAACATGAGAAGGATTTAGTAGGAAGACAAGTGCTTCTGGTAATGCTGTATGAAGTCGGAGGCTTCTCAGAACGACTCTTTGAGTTTCGCGATCTCCGAGAGCCCGAGCTTGGCGGCTTTTGCAGGTCTGCAAGACGCTGCAGACTATATCCTGTAGCAGCACATCCTCTCAAGCCCCTCAGCGAGAGGAATGCGACGAATGTCACTTTTTGCTGTAATCTGCAACTTCAGAGCTTTGGTGCCTTGCTTGGTTGCGAGTGTGAACCCAGTTTGCCGCTTGACAGATCGTTTGCCAACCCTAAACCCTAAACCCTAAAACTAAGGCTTTGAAAGCCATGGGTGCATCCTTTGGCGAGAGCTGCCTTTATCTTTCTGGCGGTGGCATGCTTGGGATGTACCACATAGGCCTGCTGGATGCATACCGTTTTCTGCAATCTGGGGGTTTCCGATAATAGGGGGTACCTTATTTGGGGGTCCTTATAATAAGGATCCTATTATTTGGGGTACTATATTAGGATCCCCTATTTTCGGAAATCCCCATCTGGGTGTCTCTTACATTGTTATAACCGGCCCTATTTTAGATATTCGATTCCTTGACGACTCGTACCAACTATTTTTCGAGGGACTCTTCAAGGTTTCCGGAACCCTGAGAGGCATTTGTAGGCCGTAAAACCAAACTGTGCCAACTCGCGTCTCGCGGTCGTAAACATGACAGTTGAGCTCGAGACCGGAAATCTGTACCAGTTTGATATGCTGGTAGCATCGTCGTGATGTTGGGAGAAATACAGATTTCCGAGCCTGGCTGCTGAACACAATTGTAGTGCAAGCGCAATCACACCGGTGGGTGCTAGCACCTGGCTCGAAGGTGCACAATCGCAGTGACAAGACATGGGCAAAGAGAACGAGTGGATCGTAAGAACCAGCGACGACTTCCTCCACAGGCTAGATAGTTGTACCATTAGCGAACTACAGCTAAACCAAAGAAGAAGCGAACTGATTTAGGAGTGAACAAGCTGCCTACTGAACCCTACTCGCCCCCCACCCCTCAACCAAGTAGTCACCACTAAGTGACGACCGAACCAACTCCTCGACTATCTTTCACAAGGCCAGCCATTAGCTTCTTCAGCAAAGCAGGTCGAGTATCCTATTTGGGGGGTTTCCTTTTTATGGTTATAGTATAATGAGCCACAAAACCCTATTCTAATTATAAAGGCCCCTACATTACAACCATAGTAGCTTCCGGTTGAGCATCAGGGAAAAAACATCGCCAGAGCCTCATACTCATCGCCACGCCAAACTGGGGTCCATGCATGTGGGTATTTCTCTAAAACAGGGCCTATGTTCAGATTCCAAATATAGTACGGCACCTTTCTAAAAATGGCCCTAAAAGGGACCTTAAACCCTAAACCCTAAACCGCTAGTTTAGCAAACTACCCGTGTGAGGCACGCTTCGTCAGCTTCTGGACGACGGCTTGCTTCCAGACAATCTCTGCGGGACCTCTGCAGCCCGGCGGAAGGGAACCTTCAGGGGTTTAGGGTTTAGGGTTTAGGGTTTAGGGTTTAGGGTTTAGGGTTTAGGGTTTAGGGGTTTAGGGTTTAGGGGTTTAGGGTTTAGGGTTTAGGGTTCCCAAACCCTGAACATTGAAACTTTTTGAAAGCTGCGGTCTTGATCCCCGAAGGTCTGAGTTGACCAGCCTGCCCTCTAACCCAAAGCTAGGCCCGTGGAGGGTTTGTTTGAGTTTGCATGAGTTTGCAAGGAGCGTTGAAGTGGTGCCATCTGGCCCCGCCCTTCTCCGGCCCAGATCATCCTAAACTCATCCGCAAAATCAAGCCAAGGTTGGTTCCATCGTCGGGGCCTTCGTCGCCACGCGAACAGACAACGAGCTCAGGGAAGAGTTCGACAATCTTGAGGACCCAGACCACGGTTTAGGGTTTAGGACCCTAACTACTAAAGGGTACTTTATAGGAACCCCTTAGGGGATCTATATTTTGGATCCTCCTGGTGTTCTGAGGAGGGGGCGGGGAGCAACAAATTCAACCAAGATCAAGAAAGACAAAACCTAGCCACGGGCGAGGAAGGGAAGAGGAAAGAAGGAAGGCAAGAAACAAGCAAAAACAAAAGAAAGGGTGAGATGAAAGGAGCAAGGAAGGAAGGCAGGAAGGAGGGAACTGAACGGGGTTTGGGAGTACTCAGGTGCTCCGGTTGTTCTGGTGTTTTCTTTGTCGCCAAGAACCGGGCGAGCCCCTAAACGCTAAACATAAGAGTGCTTACCCTAAGTTTAGGGTTCAGGGTTTAGGGTTTAGGGCTCTACCAAGAGCGGAGTGCAAGGATGGTTGCATGCAACCCCATCCATTGCAAAATCAGAAACTGGGACTTGAATCAAAAAGCGCATCAGACACCAGATACGCATCAGAAACTGCCGCACATCAGAAACCACCCCGCATCAAAAACCAGCGCACATCAGAAATCGGCTTATCAGAAACCAGCGCGTATCAGAAACTGGATTTTGAAAACTGGCGCGGCCGGCAATGCTGGGGTGGTGAGAAGATCGCATCCATGACCCAACCAGGATAAGGTCAAATGCGTGTGAGAAGAGCCAGCCAGTCTCATGCGTTCTGAGCCCAGAGCATCCATGGGCCAACCATGATTACGTCCATGGGTGGGGTGGGGTGGGGTGGGGTGGGGTGGGGTGGGGTGGGGTGGGGTGGGGTGGGGTGGGGTGGGGTGGGGTGAAACATTGAATGTTACACATCCAGGTGCCT